TTTTCTTTAGCACTTAATTTATCAACTAGTTCTTTAGGGGTTAATTTTTTTAATCTTTCTAGTTCAGTCTCCAATTCTTTTATTCTATCCAAAAGTTCTTGCTTTTGCCTCTTACCTCATTCCTCAGACTTTTTTTGAAATTTGACTACTTCTTCCCTTTCAATTTCTAAGGTTTCTTCAGTCTTGTTTAGTTGTTCTTGTAAGGAATTTATTTGTTGTTCATAAAAAAATGCCATTCCTCCATTTTGATGAGGTAAAAGAGGAAGTCCTTTTTCATTTTTCTCTTCTTTGCAATCACAAGTGTATCTAGTCTTTAACCTTCCGCAATCACACTTAGGCAACTCATCATTTTCAAATTTATCTTTGCAACCTTCACAAGCCTTATCACTTTCAATCATTTCGCCAGTTGCTTTGCTTCGTGTCCTTATCTGACAAACTGCTTTTTTTAAATCAAAGCAAAAAACACAAGTGGAATTACTGCTATGTCATTCTTCTAACTCTAAAATAGTGTAAAGCAATTCTTTCATAATAATAAAGTAAACTAATTAACTTTTACTTCTATTCGAGCAGTAAATTCTCGGGTTTGATGTTTTTTATTTTCTACCAATTGTTGAAGTTTTTGGAACTTGGTTTTAATTCTTGAACCTAATTTTTGGAAAGCATTTCGTTTTTTAGGTAGAGCAGGCAAGGGTTTTCTTTCTAAATAAAGTTGTCTATTTAGTTCTTCTTCTCTTTTCTCGCTTTTTGCTAACATTTTTGATTTCTCTTCTAACTCTTCTTGTAATTTTGTATTTTTTGCTACCTCCTCTTCAAGCATTTTATCAGACTTTTGTAGCATTAGTGATTTTTCTTTGAAATCTTCTGCTTGAGCTTTACTTCATTTTTCACCAGTTGCTACAACTTCCTTAACTTGTTCCTGTTCTATTTCTACTCTTTCTTCTAACTCTTCTACCTCTGCTTCTAATTCTTTAATTCTTTCAATCTTGCTTTCTATAATGTCTTTAAGAATTATATCTTTAGCAGGTTTGCCTCAAATATTAACTCCTTCTTCTATTTTAGAAAAAATATGAGCTCTTTGATTTCATAGTTTCCAATCTTTTTTCAATTCAGTGGCTAACTCAGTGTCTTCAAAGTAATCTATAATAATTCTCTCAACTACTTTTTCTAGATTTTCTTTACCTTCTCATTTATAGTCGTGCATAAGGCTATGTTGAAAACAAACCTTCATAAATTGATTTCTTAATGGTTTACTAATCAACTTTCTTAAATCTTGTTCAATATTCTTACTACAATGAGGAAATCTATTTTTCATATCTACCAATATTTGGTGAATTTGGTCAATTGCTTCTTGCTTAAATTCAGCTTCTTCTTCTTCACTTCTCCTAGATTTTTTAATTCAGTAATTTCTTGTTCTTTATCGACTAATTGCTTTTTCAATGTTTCAATTTCATTTAATAATTCTTTATTTGCTTGTTGTTGTTCATTTATAATGTTTACCATGTTTGTTCTTTTTTATATATATTCTTTTAATATACTTATATCCTTTTTATAAGGGTGTATTAAGTATATAAATTATTTTAGTACTTTTTTATTTTAAAACTAATAATATTTGTCAAAAGATTAAACTTAATGACAGTAAGGGGACAAATTAACAAGTGTGATAAAGTAATGAAGGTGCTTTTGTTCTAAATATATTATTCATTTCTGGTATAGAATGGACTTGGGCAAGTAATATCTTTGTATTCATCTTTCACAAATGGACAAATATTATGATAAAGATATTCTTGCCTCTTATAATCTAAAGGAGGGGGTGTTAACACTAAAATAGATAAAGCTTTAATCTCTTCAAAAATATCTGCTTTCTTGGTTTTCAATAAATTGAATTCAGCAAAAGGTCCATTAGCAATTTCCTGAGCTTTGACCATACCAAGATTAGTTGCTTCAAAAAGAAAATGTTGATATTTCTGTATACTTGGTAACTTCTTAAAATAAATTCCCAAAATAGCTTTAATATCTAAGTATTGAAAACCTCTTCCACCTTCATAACATTGAGCTTTGTTCAATCCTGCTGGACTAGACTTTTTTACCACCTCAACCACATGATCCAGACAGTCTACCCTTGCTCTTCTATAGAGTTTTTTAATCATCCCAAAATTGCCATCACATTTGAATTTGGTATGTCCTGGAATCATGAAATTTAATTCAATACTTTCATAATAACCACAAATTACTAAATATAAATAAAATCAAATAGTTACATTATTTTTATTTTGCCCACCGGCATTATCACAAGTAATCTTTAAATACTTTTCACCCTTATTCAATTTCTTAATCCCATCAAAAATCATACTAAGGGTGCCATTAGGACCTTTTCCTATAATTTCATCCTCATTAAGAACATAATTAATTTGTTCCTTTACTGCTTCATCTTGAATGCCAAATAAATGGACTTTACGTGGACTAAGGTAATAAATTTTACTTGCCTGTTGATCAAAATGTGGTACATGAACATTTTGAGCTCAATCATAACTATAATGAGCAGTAGCATCAATACTGCAATATGGTGTTTTACCCTTTGAATAATTTTGATTAACTAATTTCCTTTGTTCTTCTGCTAATTTGGTGTTTTTATTATAATAGTTTCTTTCTAATCTTGCCTTGGACAGATGTTCTTTAAATCTTTTGAGTAAATCTTTAGCTTCTTCCTCTTGGCGAGCATTGTAATGTAAACCATTTCGAAAATGTTGACAAGTATCACACAAGTCAGTCCTTGGACTCATAATTTGAATCTCTGGTGTTAATTGATGTCATAGTTTTCTAAATGCATCATATTTTAAGGATTTCAATTTGTTATCTTCTTCCAGACCAGCTAGAAAATCTCTATACACTGATTTATAACTCATTTCAGCTGGTAAAAAGATAACTGACTGAGTTATTCTATTAACACTTCTGCCTGGGCTTGGTAATCCATGGACTTCTGCATAATTTTCAAGAAAATTCTTTACTACTTCTGCAACATTCTTATCAATTACCATTTTGGTTTTTCATTGAGGTATCTTCTTTATATTGCCATGAACTCTTGCTAGAAGACCATTATTAATCAGGTGATTTCTGATATTTTCAAAATAAGTCCTACCAATTCTCAACATATTGAGATAAGTTTCTTGACAAAGAGGTGTATTGTGATTCCAATGATAGAAAGTTCTTTTGTGAGATCTGGTTTTCTTTTTAAGGAGTCTACTAGTGCTTATTGATCCACCATTCATTGCTTTAAGTTGGGCCATTAAAAATATGTCTTGTTCTGATTTAGAAAGAGCTTGAAAGGATTCCCTTAACTCTGCAAATTGTTCTTTGAGAATTCTTGAAGAACAACCACATTTACAATCTTTTTCTAAAAAATTGATTGCCTTTTCATATTTGTTAGATCCATTATGGTTACTATTTACATTATTACTTTTTGTATACACCTATCCCTATATATAATTTTATAATTTTATGTTCACTTTACAGGAAATTGAAAATTAATCACAATAGATTTTTAAAGAGTTTATATTAATTACCAAATTAAAAGAACTTGAACTACTGTAATTTCTTTATTTATTATTCAGTTTCATCTAAAAAAAAACTATTTAATAAAAAAATATTATTATCACAATCAAACAGTATTAAAGTACAAATGTGTAACCATATTATTAATAATGAAAGGTTACAAGTATTAAAAACTATATTCTCCATTCACAGTTATTCAATCCTTCATCCCATTGAGTTTGTACAGTTATCATAAATATCATGCTTTCAAATACTTTTCAATTGTCAACTCAAGGAGATCACTATCATATATTTGCTTGATTGGTTGGTTGATTTTAACACCAAAGGGCCATGAAATATCAGGATTAAGACATGGTGGGTACCTCGCTGCTTCTTTTTTTCCTCCCTAATCAAAATCTATAATTTTTACTTGTATGTTACCATCTTCATTTTTTTCCTCTTCCTACTTATAAAGAATATTACACTCCTGTAAATCACCATGAACCAATCCTTCACTGTGCATCTCCTGAACTGCATCCTTGATTTTCTTCTGAAGCTTCATTTTTGATTTGCTTCAAGTGGAGGATCTGTCAATGATTTGTAGTCTGAAAGATATTCCATTGTCACCATTTTCCAATCACAGTTAATGTTCTCATACCCATAGACCTTTGGAGCAATACCTTTATCTGCACAAAACTTATGCACATCCAACCCATAGCTTGTAACAAATTTTACAACTAACAATTTTGGGATATCACTGCAATCATTATTCATTGTTTCAAAAAATATACAAATTTACCTCCAGTTAACTTTTCTTCATATTTAAATGACATTTCACATTCACCATCAAGCAACTTAAATGAAGTAATATAAGGAAATTTCAATGGTACTGCCTGAGTGGGAGAAGCATAGTATTCTTTTAACAACTGAACAGCTTTTTTAAGAGCAAGCAATATCCTTCCAATTATTTGTGTTCCCTTTGGTCAGTAGATTCAAAGCAGTCTAGTGAAATTTCTGTTAGGCCTTCAATTAAATAATTTCCATTATAAAAAGCACCAGCAATCCTAAGGTGAGATGCTGACAAAAAGAAACAAATAAAATTAGTCAAAATATGAACCAAATGCACATGCATAAGAATTTATTGATACTGACCAGTCAGACATAAAAGAAGACATGGTAAATGTGTTTTTCATGCATAACCTTCTTCTAAGCTTTGGATAAATCTCCAATAATATCCACAAGCTTGTTTAAATGCATTACCAGCATTGTCATTTTTAACCTCAAGAACAACAGGCACAAAATTTTTTTGAAAGATACAGCCATTAGTGATGGTCACCAAAACTATTTTGAAGAGATGAAAGTCAAAACTAAAATTAAAAGTTATATGTCAATAGTCAAAAATCAAAACTAGTTTTTGACTTATGGTGAAACCTTTTGCAGTGTTGTGCAAATGGAACATTGTAACGCTATTGGAATGTTCCAATGTAGATCTTCAATTGATATTAACCAATAAAATTCGTGTGTATGACACTATAATTGAATTTCATTGGTTAACTTCATTGGAACCACATTTGAAATGTTCCAATTGGAATTTATTAGAATGCTCCAATGAAATTTTATTGAAACCATAAATGGCCTTTTGACTTTTGCACAGTTGCAAATCTCTCTAGTTTTAGGAACCAACACTAACAGCCATCTGTGGAGTAATTCTTACCAAGTATAGATATCAATCCCAAAACTAATTCAAAACCCAACCAATCCTTACAAAGTTTATGAAATTTGTCTCATTGATCATCTTCAATATTGTAAGTATCAGTCATTCCTTCAATAAATTGCATTGCCATAACATGAGAATCAAATTCCAAATCAATTGTTTCACAGTAATTCACAAAATTTGCAATTCAACTTCTTTAACCAACGAATTGTCTTAATCCATTTCCTTGTCCATTTTTTGATTAATGTTGTCATTTATAATTGTATCTTCTTCAAGATTTGTGTTGTCATCTTTTTGAACTATGTTTTCAATATTTGAGTTATCATCTTTCTGATATATGTCATCTTCCTGATATATGTCATAAATATTTTTAATCTTTATGTTTTCACCTATTTATGGCATATTATATCACTCAAAACAACCAAAAATTGGCAGAATTGTAAAACACCATAGCAAGTGATGATAATTTTACTTAGAAATCACATTTGCACTATAAATGTTTTTACATGATAATAATCTTTGTTTTGGCTATATAGAAGTGTTACTCAAAATTAGCAGACTTGTTTTAGGAGCATTGATCTAAATCAAGATGAGAGGCAACATGTTAAATATAGTTATTATGTAAATAAACTTATTATGATTTTGCTATCAACACCAACTATGTCTAGTAAAGATGATTTTTAAAATAAAATCTGACAAATGATTACAAGATGGATGATATTATTACAACCAATCTAAAAAATCAATAATAATTATTATTATTCATATAGTGATACTATTTCCTTTGAAAAAAAAATTTTTTTTGTGTATATATTAACATATACTTCTAGTTTTCAAAAAAAAATTTTATATATGCAGAATACAGAATTTTTTTTAATTTGATTCAAAAATTTATTTAGAATTAACACATCAACAATATTAACAATATCTAATACAACACAAATAATACTTTAAGAAATTTTGGCTTTTGATAGATCAAGTTCAGGATGTTGTTCAGCAAACTTCTTAAAAATTTCTTCTTTTTGTAATTCTTCAGATGTCTTTTTACCCATTTTTTTTTGTTGTTGATCAAACTGAAGAATGAATGTATTTTAATTTTTAACATATTATTTATTAATATTTTTTTTTAATAAATATATAAAAGTATATATTAGATCATACCATCATTTTTTCTACCATTGCACGAGTTTCACCATCTAAATCACTTAAACTGGAATTTTCTGGTTGAATTTTTGTTGTATCAATAGCTGGATGAGTAGTGATTACATTTTTCCACCATTCTTGTTTATTAAGTTTTTCTAAATGAATATAGATTTCCTTTTGATCCTCTAAATTACATATTATATATATTTAATCATTGAGCTTTAATGTATGTTTATAGTTTTCCAAGTAAAAAATTTTTTTCCTCAATTACCAATTGTCCATGTACATTCATCCACTTTAATTTCTTTACATAATTCACCCTAATAGATACACATATATTATTGATATATTTATAAAGTACTTAATAATATATAGGATTATTTTATGTACCTCGATGATGGGTGGTTTTCCTTTCAATCCAACAACTAGATTCTTTTTCTTTAATTCAACATTTAGATCACGTGCTCTTGTTCCTTTTGGAACTGGAACAGTAACATCAACATCTTGTAATGTTTGTTTCCACTTGTATGGTAAGGCTATAATATATATTATTACATATTGTGTTTACTTTTTATTAATTTGATGATAGGTAATTAATAATACCTGCTTGTTCAGCTTCTTCCTTTCCTCTTACTTTTTTATCATGTTCCTCTTGTTCTTCGGGTGTCATTTCATCATAGTCTTTGATAGACGACATTGTAAAATTTTATTATTATTATTATTTTTTGTATTAATTCTAATTATTTGTATTGATTGATGAGACTTTTTATCAATAGTTTTTTGAATAATTGCAATAATTGTTACAAAAAAACTTAATGGTGACGATCACAAAAGATCTCGTGTAACCAACTATCATGGGAAGAAATTTAGCGAACTTGTATAAAATCATTTTTTTTAGAAAGAAAATCACTCTTTCTCTTTTCGAAATCCCATGGTTGTTTAAACATTCAAAGCATGAGGTTCCCAAAATTACATGCTATAACAGTCTGATCTTTTGAAAATATCATTCCTTTGACAAACAAATAGATAATTAATAAGATAGAAATTACAATAAATTTGTCTAGTCATATTAATTGATTTGTTTATTTTTATATATTAATTATCCTTTTGGAAATAAACGAATAAGCATAAACATAAGTACAAATATGATACAAACAAACAACACTACAGACCAAACCAACCAAGTAGTTTTACTGGTCTGTGTAGCATATTTTCCAAGACGAAGACCTTCTCTTTTTAATCTATCTAAATTACTTCCAAGAACACCTTGCACTTCATTTAAAATCTATTGTTAAGAATTAATTAATTATTATTTGCTTGAATAAATATAAAATGGCAATAAAATTGTCAAACAAACCTTTTCATCTTTTGTTAATATATTAGAAAATGTTACTGAATTTATCTTCAATCTTTCTGCCATCTTAATTAAATCATTAGTTAGTTCCTCTTGTGTTTTACGATGATGTTGTAAAACAGATTCTATATTTGTGGTATCTTCATGATCAAAAATTCCTGGTCTTTTAAAAACAAAAATCTAAATTAAATGTTATATTACAAATCAAAATTAACAAAATTGGGATCTTTTTAAAAATGATTATAAATAATATTCCACCTTCTTTGCTTAAGCTCTGATGTATTTGTACCAGATGAAAATAATTCTTTTAAATGTAATAATAATAATAATAATAATAATAATAATAATATTGTTAATAATAAATTATTTTGAATAATATTTTTTTAAAAAAGATCTTAAATAAATTTTACCATTTCTTTTCTCATCATATGAAAGATTATACTGTGCATTATTATTGTTGTTATTGTTGTTATTATTATTATTGTCATAATTATCAACATTAAATGTTTGATTGGGCAACTATTCAAAGAATTGATATAGTTAAAAAATATAAGTTGGACTATACAAAATATATACATGTGTATTATCAAACCTGTAGCAGTTCTTCTCTTTCGATCTTTTCTGCATTTCTAACCATTGTCAGTTCTAATAGATTTTCCTTGTTTTTTTCTTCCTGAGTTTGATAAGCATGTTTAATGAATCTTGCTTGTGAATAATTACGAGTTATTGGTGATAACTGTTAAATAAAAAAATTAAATAATTATTATTAATATTAATTAATTAAATGATTAGTTTTATTTTATTCGTTTTCTTACTAATTTGGATTCATCAACGATGTCAGATAATAGTTTGATTTTCTGAGAATAATCACTTATTGCTGTCTTATCAACTTGACTAGCTTTTCGTGTGCGCACACACCATTCATAAATATTTTAAGTAAGATGAAGTTAACAATAACTTTAAAAGGGTACACAAAAACTTACTTTTCTGCTTCTTTTTCAACCTTTTCCAATAACTTTCGAAGATAATTTATATTCTTTTTATATGTATATAATTTATTCAGTAATACAACGACTCAAAATAACAATAGTTATAATAGATGATTGTATTCGTACCGATACATATTTCATTTTTTCAGGCCCATGTATTAAACCATTTTCTTCTGATGCTTGTTTTTCACAAACCGTTAACAGCCTTCTAAGATTAACTTCGGCTTTCGAAGGTTTTGTTGTTGTGGTATGCTGCATTTTGTAAAAAAGCGAAATTGGTGCGATTTTTTTGAATTAGGGCTGGTACTAGGGGATGGGGGTTCAACACGAATGTTACACATGGTTTTGCTGATTACCAAACCTTTTTCATAGATGCCGAAATTAATTTTATTAATTGCAGACATTATTTCTGAAATACTTTTGGCCAAATAGTTGTAATTCTGGTGGTTTTTTATATATATCTATTGATATAAATAATATTGTAAATCCGAAATTGCTTGCCAAAATTGGTTTTTCCCAAAATCCATTTCAAATTAAAATGTAGATCATTGATAGATTGGATGTTATAAGAAAACTTAAACTTTTATTACTAATAAAAAGTCAAGGTCAGAAAAAATATTAATGGAATACTTGTGCAGAATTTGGAAGTGGTGTTATTTAATGTGACAGTGCTACTTTTCTAATAGCATTTTTTGATTTTACTTTTCACATATAAATTGTCAATCTTTTTTGAAAATATATATTAATATAGATTTAACCAACACCAATGGTTCACATTATTATTTTCTTAAACCTCTAATATATCTTTTATTTTATTACAAGTATCTCTTAATGATGGTTTTCCTTTTTGTCATTAAAAAAACAGAGCCTATATATATCTACATAAAAAAATATAGCTATCTATTGAAGGTTGTAGTTCTAGGTATTTTTTAATGTACATGTAATGCCCTTTCCCATTGGGGAAACATCAAAGCTTCCAGATCAGGGTTCTAAATAAGATCAGGAGTTTTGGCATGGTTTGATTTGACAAAACCTGCAATCAGTCTACCATAGCTTGTGTCTTTGTTGTGTATTTTTGGAGGCAAAGAATCATTTGGGATCCTCTTCTGGAAGTTGACTGCAATAGTGGTTAAAGTTTTGTTGGTAATCATGTATATTATATATGTAATGGGTGAGATATTATAGCAAGGGCACACACAGAATCAGGAAAAACACTGGCATATATATTGCCAATATTATGTGATTTGGAAAGCTTGGATATAGAGTTTTAATCATATCACCAAGAGATATGGGTATACATGCGGTGTAAAATAGTAAATTATAGATCATGGAGCATAGTAGAAATTCTATTTTGATCGACATTTGCAATTATCACATTTCCATTTCAGTATATGATTTTCGTGTTACATAATTTTATGAAACTTGCGATTAGTACAAAGGCCATTTTTCGTTCTTGGTTCCAAGCAAGCATACAATA